TTGCAGTATGAACCGGTGCATTATCATCTTGAAATATATTTAAATCAGTTCCTAATTCGTTCATAAAAGGTAATAAATAATTTTCTAAAAGCTCTTGATATTTTTTACCAGTTATTTTACCTTCTAATATTACCAAGGGTCCTGGTTGATTGTTCACAAAACAACCCCACACCATTATTCCTCCCCCACCATGTTTAAAAGTAGGAATAAGACAGTCAACATCATACTTTTCTTTTGGAACTCTCCAAACTCTCTGCCGTCCATCAGAATGATGCAAGTTGAATTTTGATTCATCACTCCAAATAATATTACTCCAGTCATCAACGTTCCAATTTTTTCTTTCTCTGCACCAACTAAATCGTTTTTTTCGATTAACTTCAGAAACAAAAGGTTTCCTCAATGCAGCTCGACTATAATATCCTTCTTCATGGAGATAGTTACGAATTGTTCGATCACAAATAGGATTGTCTGTGGTTTCATTTAATATGTTAGTTATCTCTCTAGCAGGAGTAAAACGATTTTTTATAACAATTCTTTTTAAAGTCCTAGAGTCTCGATCTGTTAAACTTTTTGGTCTTCCACTTCTAGATAAAACGGTAATTTGACCTTTTTCACGATATGCTTTTATTGCACGCTGTACTTGTGTTTGAGTACGACCAACAGCATTTGCTATTTCTCGAGTTGTTTGACCAGCTTCCCAACGACCAATTATTCTTCCTCTTTCAAAGTCAGTTAATTGAGTGTTTTCAGTATTTTGTGTATTTATTTCTGTAAGAGTCATTGTGTTGTTGATTAAAAATAAGTTAAAAAACGTAACAGTTTTAGTTAAAAACGAATAGCAATATTTGCAGAAAAAAAAATTTTTAAATGTAACACATTTATTTTTTTTAGTCGTTTTTACGTTTCAGTTCGATACTTGACCAATATCCGACAATTAATTGTGAGATTTCATAAGTATACATTTGAAGATAAAAGAAACAACATTTACTAAGCTCTCAAAATGTGTTAAAACATGTCATCTAAAGTTGGCTCTAATCTCAAGTTTTTTTGAAAATTTCCGGAAATTTTTTTTTTGTCTTTTAAAGATCATAAAATTACCAATAATTAATTGTGTGTTGTGAAACTTGAATATGTTATAGAAATCATTATGAAAATGATTTTTTTGTTATTACACAACATCGACTTGGTTAGTAAAATCATGACTTTTTATATCACAGAAGTTATCCAATTATTTTCGTCGATCATCAGGTGAAGCGATACTTTTTTCAAGGGACTGTATATATATATTACGATCTAAATCAACAAAAAAATTTTTTTTTAAAATTAATAAAATGGCAACTCTTGAAAGAATCGAACGAGAATTAAATGATGCAAGAGTGGAATATGGTGAAACGGAGAAGAAGTTAAAAGATTGGGGAAGAGGGAAAGTGTAAAGGGGCGAAGTTGGACGAGTTGGAAGAAGAGTTAATGAAGGGGATTTGAATAAAAAAGGAGGGAAGAGCAGAGAGACAAGTTGCAAAAAGAAAAGAAGAATTGAAGAAAGACAAGAATGATTGGAAGGAGCAGGTGAAGAAGTGAAGGAAGGCGTTAAGAGTGTTCAGTGGGGGTAATGAACAAATTGCGTAAAATAAATTTATTTTTCGTTCATTCCATTCCATTCATTTATTTATTCAAATTATATTTGATTATCTGTCATTAGTATGTGTAAAAAAAAAATTGGATTGAATTAAATTTTTTCACTTAAGGTGTAAACAAGGAGGTAGGTTAGATGAAGATGAATAAAGATGTATTCTTTTCTTTTTATATCTGCTTTTTCTTACTACCAGATTTTGTTTAAATATACCTTTGAAATAGAAAATTTTATAACTGATATAACAGTTCAACCTGAAGGTATATAAATTCTTTTTTTTTTTTTTTTTTGACAATAAATTTTATGTTATCTAGCCTTCTATTTTATTAATCATGATATGAAATTTTAGAATCACCAGTCAAACAAATTGGTGATGAAATGATGCCATAGTTTAAATATGCATCTCTTACATTTAATCAAGAATTCAAAGATATATCAAATTATGTCAAGTACTTTCAACATTACGTTAAAATATGTCATGATAAATCTGAAGATACTTGCATGTTTTATCTTAGTGTCATACAATCTTCAGGTTATGGAAATCAAGACTCATTAAGGAATATTCAAATGATGTTTACGTTCCATATTTAAATTTGGGGATTAATCAACATTTAAAAAGGTCAAAGATCTAACAATTTGGTTCAATACTTTTCTGGAAGCAGCAGTCTCTTTAGCATTTCTTGTTTATTCAAATTGTTATCATTCGTTTATTATTCGAATTGTTATCATTCGTTTATTATTCGAATTGTTATCATTTGTTTATTATTCGAATTGTTATTTGTTTTATTTTGAATTATTCGTTTTATTCGAATTATTCGTTTTATTTTGAATTATTCGTTTTATTCTGAATTATTCGAATTGTTATTGGTTTTATTTTGAATTATTCGTTTTATTCGAATTATTCGTTTTATTTTGAATTATTTGCTTTATTTTGAATTATTCGTTTTATTCGAATTATTCGTTTTATTCTGAATTATTCGAATTGTTATTTGTTTTATTTTGAATTATTCGTTTTATTCGAATTATTCGTTTTATTTTGAATTATTTGTTTTATTTTGAATTATTCGTTTTATTCGTTTTATTTTGAATTATTCGTTTTATTTTGAATTATTCACTTTATTCGAATTACTTGCTTTGTACTTGATTTTTTCTCAGAAAGTATATAGTGAGTTCAACAAGTTGAAATAACTGATGGTGCTTTCAAGAGAACTTGGATTGATTATTATTATAAACAACAAGAAGAGAAAATGGATTATTTAATGAAAATGATATAAAAATTTTTAGAAAATTATTTGCAAACCACCATTGATTTCTTATCAATAATTTAAAATGGAATTTCTAATAAAAATAAATATGCTATTGTAAAAGTCAATATTTTGCCAATCACCACCTCTCTGTAAGAAAACATGTTATTTGTCATGACCATATATGTATATAGAAGAACACCTGTGACCATATAAAAATGCCTGTATGTAAGAACACTTGTGGCTGTATAGAGGTCTGACTGTAATAATTTCTATTGATTATTTTCTAATGGAAAAAGAGGTCAAGCCGACTTCGATGTCTCAAGTTGCGACGCAATAAAAAAATTCAGTATGGGAGCTCTGTATTTTACTGAAACCATCTTCTTTCTTTCCAGTAATATGTTTACTACACAGATATGAAAGAGACTATCGAGGCTTCTCTTATGTTCACCCGAAAAGTTGGTGAACAGAAACTTGGATGGCGATGGGAAAGAAAACCGATGCATAAGGCTCTACACGTTTGAGCATACATGGTCTTGGTATTGTTATTATTATTAGAATGCTTGCAATATATCAAGCTCTTTTGGTGTAAGAAAATATTTCGTATTTCGTATGACTTATATCTCAAATAACACGAGAAATCAACATGTATTAGTATGGTAATAGAAGGTACGAATCATGGAAACAGAACATTTTATTGATCAAAAATATATCACCGCCAACGCCCTCTTCTTTTTGTCGCTCGCTACGTTATGTAAATTATATTATCTAATAAATATTGTTTTTTATTGGATTTTCTCTTTATTGGGAGGTTTCAATTTCATATTAAAACCTTTGATATTTTTTTTGAAAGATGGATTTTTACTCCAAATCCTAACATAGAAGAGTAAGTTATCTTATTTTATTTTTTATATGCTTGTATTATTATAGAGATAAATAAATACATGTATACGTTTATTTTAAAACATTTTATTATAACGTTATGTGAAAACAAACAAATATCTTTTTCAAGTATTATTCGAAAATATCAAACTATAATTGAATTACAAAATGCCCCGTATTTATTATAATTCCATCATGTCGAACATGTTACTTTCTCATAAAAAAGAAAAAAGGATGATAGTATACGTATTATAGTTGGTAAATGATAGAATTCCAGAATTATACAATTATTTTTTTGATGAACAAAAAATTTGCTATTTATATTAAATAATATATATAAAGATATCAATTTATTGCCATATATAAACATCAAGTTGTGTTATCGGAATAAAAATAAGGAAAAAAGAGTTATACGAGTTTAGTTCAATGACAAAATACACATGTAAACTCGATAAGTCGGACATAACAATCAATTGTTTTAAAGTACTCGACAATATAAATAAATGACCAACTTATCGAGTTTACATGTGTAATGACAATCAAAGAATCAATAGGAAGTGGGCATTATTCCATGTTGATTTTATCATTATTATTATTGTTATCAAAGAATTATTAGTTTGTGTTATGATAAACAGATTTCAATAATTACGGCTATATATGTATATCTTACATAATAGTAAATAATATTAATGATGATAATAACAATAAGCCGTAAATAATTACAACTTTCACGACTTTAGGTATTTAGGGCTTATTATTATACCATAACAGGTAAAAATGCCGAACTTTCCGTAATCCAAGAATTCCGATGACAAGCAGAGTCTTTTATTTGTTATCTGAATAAATTGGTCTAATTTAATTGAACCACACGATCTTCCCATACATATTTAATAGATTATGTATTTATAATATAACTAACTAAATTTTATTTAAGCGGAAGACACATTTAACTTATCCCGATATCGTTGTACCAAGCTTCTTCAAAATGACGGATGAGGTAATAAATAATAATATTATTATTATGTACAATTTTTGTTGACGGGATTGACAATATTAATACAAATTCAATTTGTTATTGTTTCAAATAGTCTTTAAGAAGGGAATTCGGAAAAAGTAAATAAATCGATTTGGGTTATAATTCATGATAACAATACGTGATTTTCATAAAAAAAAAATCATTATAAATAATGAGAAAAAATTTACTTTTTTTAAAATAAAAATAAATTTTCATTAACAAAAGAAAAATGACATCAAGACAAGACAAATATAAGCTTCTTGACTTAGAACTGGCATATTTGGCTCATAATTTGAAGGCAAAAACCAGCCAAATTAAAAAAAATAACAAAAAAGGAATAGAAAAGTTACAAGAAAATATTGCTAAATCCATGATAGAAATTGATAGTATATTGAACGATTTACAACATGGTTTAAGTAATGAACCATTATCATCTGAAACTAAAAATTGTATTAATGATATTAAAATTTTCTTTCAAGAGATTATAATTTATAACCATAGGTTGTATTTTAAAGGCAAAGACAGTGCAGAAGTTTACTTGAGAAAATTTGTGAATAGATTTTACAAAATTGTTGATGATGACTTGGCTGTTGGAGAACAAAATTGATAAAAATGTTTGTTTTTATTTTTATTTTTTTATTTTATTTTATCAATTATGTTAATGATGACTTTGCTGTTGGAAGAACAAAATTGACAAAATTATTTGTAAATATTTATTTTTATTCTTTATTTTTTTATTTTATTTTATCAATTATGTTTTTTAATATATTTTTAAAAATAAATTAATCGTTAATACAAAAAAGTTCATTGTGATGGTTTACTATATCATCGAATCCACAATGGATCGAGTCAATTCATCGCAAAGTTATAGTGAACTTGCAAACGGTTTTACTAGAAATTGTCGCGAGTAAAACAAAAACATACATAATAGTTTAAAAAAAACCTCAAAATCGAATATCATCTCTAAAAATGGCAATAACAGAGTATTTTTTGCTCTCCCAAGGCTCTCAAAAAAATTTTCTTCTGATTTTTTTACTACCTCCAAAATAATATGTTTTATGTAGTAAGCAACAGAGTGACAAATATATTTGTCAAGTTGAAGAGAGAGCAATATTTTGGGAAAAAATATGATCTCTCTTAAAATATTGTGATTATAATTTAGGCGTGGACTATATACACACAATCAACAGAAATGACATACATTCTTTACAAAAAAATTTTTTAAAATAAATTATATTAATATTAATATTAAATTACCATTAACTAACTACTATTATTATTAATTTTTATCTATAAATAAATAAATAAATAAATAAACAAACAAAACAGATAAAGGAATTTTTTAAGTAATAATACATTTTGACTTTTTCTTTTTAACAGGTGGAGGTCTTAAGATTGCCTGTATTGCTTCATCAAAAATAGTTTTTAGTCCTTTTTGAGTTAAAGCGCTACATTCCATGTATCTCACTGCATCTATATCTTTTGCTAATTGCAAACCTTGTGGATAAGTTAACGGTGATTGATTTTTTTGTCTTAACTTCAACAGAGTATCTTTGTCTTCGCGTAAATCAAGTTTTGTACCAACTAAAATTATTGGTACTCCAGGACAATGGTGAGATATTTCCGGATACCACTTGAAATTATTCAAAGTAATCGAGTTAGGATAGAAGAAAGTAGGCAAGTAAGAAAGCAAGTAAATAATATATATATATATATATATGTTGCATGTATTTTTACCTTGGTTCTAACATTTTCAAAGGATGATTGACTAACTATTGAAAAACAAATCAGGAAGACATCAGTTTGTGGATATGAAAGCGGCCTTAATCTATCGTAATCTTCTTGTCCGGCTGTATCCCAAAGTGCAAGATTTATTGGCCTTCCATCAACTGTGATATTAGCTGAGTAATTATCAAAACTATTTAAAAAAAAACAGAGTCGATAAGTTATCATTTTAATAAACCAAAATAAATACTTTACTACTACTTACACAGTTGGAATATATTCACCCGGAAATGCATTTGTTGCATAACTAATTAATAAACAAGTTTTACCAACAGCACTATATTTTTTTTAAAAAAAAATCCTTTTTATTATTTAACTGAACAAAAAATTGCTATTTTAATAATAACGATAACAACAACAATAACAACAACAACAATAACAATAATAACAAGATATATTATTAAAAAGGAACTTACCCATCACCAACAACAACACATTTTATATTTTGCATTCTTATATTTTTTTAAACAAAATTTGTAATATTTTTTTGTAATAAGGTTATATAATAAAAAATAATAAATAAAATCCAAAAAAAAAATCCTTTTATATAAATTTTTTTATGCACATTTATTTTTCTGCATAAAATGTATTAAGAAATATTTGTTAATTAATATTAATATTTTTTTTCTATTGGTGAAAACAAATAACAATTCGAATAATAAACAAATGATAACAATTCGAATAATAAACGAATGATAACAATTCGAATAATAAACGAATGATAACAATTTGAATAAACAAGAAATGCTAAAGAGACTGCTGCTTCCAGAAAAGTATTGAACCAAATTGTTAGATCTTTGACCTTTTTAAATGTTGATTAATCCCCAAATTTAAATATGGAACGTAAACATCATTTGAATATTCCTTAATGAGTCTTGATTTCCATAACCTGAAGATTGTATGACACTAAGATAAAACATGCAAGTATCTTCAGATTTATCATGACATATTTTAACGTAATGTTGAAAGTACTTGACATAATTTGATATATCTTTGAATTCTTGATTAAATGTAAGAGATGCATATTTAAACTATGGCATCATTTCATCACCAATTTGTTTGACTGGTGATTCTAAAATTTCATATCATGATTAATAAAATAGAAGGCTAGATAACATAAAATTTATTGTCAAAAAAAAAAAAAAAAAAAGAATTTATATACCTTCAGGTTGAACTGTTATATCAGTTATAAAATTTTCTATTTCAAAGGTATATTTAAACAAAATCTGGTAGTAAGAAAAAGCAGATATAAAAAGAAAAGAATACATCTTTATTCATCTTCATCTAACCTACCTCCTTGTTTACACCTTAAGTGAAAAAATTTAATTCAATCCAATTTTTTTTTTACACATACTAATGACAGATAATCAAATATAATTTGAATAAATAAATGAATGGAATGGAATGAACGAAAAATAAATTTATTTTACGCAATTTGTTCATTACCCCCACTGAACACTCTTAACGCCTTCCTTCACTTCTTCACCTGCTCCTTCCAATCATTCTTGTCTTTCTTCAATTCTTCTTTTCTTTTTGCAACTTGTCTCTCTGCTCTTCCCTCCTTTTTTATTCAAATCCCCTTCATTAACTCTTCTTCCAACTCGTCCAACTTCGCCCCTTTACACTTTCCCTCTTCCCCAATCTTTTAACTTCTTCTCCGTTTCACCATATTCCACTCTTGCATCATTTAATTCTCGTTCGATTCTTTCAAGAGTTGCCATTTTATTAATTTTAAAAAAAAATTTTTTTGTTGATTTAGATCGTAATATATATATACAGTCCCTTGAAAAAAGTATCGCTTCACCTGATGATCGACGAAAATAATTGGATAACTTCTGTGATATA